CCCCCCCCTATTGCTTTCACAAGATCCATAAAACTAACCTCCCAACAAGCTTTTCTCAGGCTAGGGTGGGTTTTTTTCCCCATATTTATAGACTGTTCATACAACAATGCTGCTTTTTTCCTCTCCCCGAAGCCACAGGCTTGCTTACTAAAATTGGAAACACAAATCCTTTTTAGCAGTATAGCTCAGAAGCATACACACAAATATTTGCCAGTTTTGACTGGACATGAATAAACCTGATCCAGGTTTTGTGACTTAGAAAAGCTTGCCTACTTTACCTGCTCGCTAAGGGCTAATTAAACACCCGTAAGCCTGTCCTCTGTTTGCAAGGCTGTCAGTCACCATGCTGGAATCATTAGAATACAAGTTTAGAACAAGACATTTTTTGATACCACAGGATTTTTATTGGTAGCGTTTCTTAGGGAGAAGGCAGCAGGGGTTTCGCCTGCTTTGCATCCCAGCTCCAATGCTTTTTCAAACTACCCACATGCTCACAGCCCAGTCCCACTTCAAACAAGGAGCATATATGGTGCCTTTAAAATGGTCCTCAGTGGTTATCACTCTCTCTAATTTCATTCTCCCCCTCCACACTAGGGTCACCAAGTGCTTAACAACACATAGACCTAGAACATGAGGTTCAGGCACCCCAACATCATGCCAGAGGCTGTCTTCTTACTCGCTGTTCTGCGAGTCTTAGCAAAGGATTGTGACCACTTTCAATGGGTGACTGTGCAGCCATGGATTAGTATTCTAGCAAACAATTAGTATTATATGATAGAATTCAAATGCATATTACTGTCTTGTTATGGTTTCCCTCTGAGCTTTTACTAGATAAAAGTTAACATATTTTCTTGGCATTCAAACAAAAATCATGAATAGTGGTCCAATTATTTCCCTAATAAAGTTACCTCTAAAGCTTAAGTGTCACAGGCTCAATGTGTTTTCTCAGCTGCTTTTTGGCCCTTTTTAAGTGCTTTGTTATCCAAAATAAACTGCTGAGATGAACTCTTTCACTTACCTGATCTCATTGTAACCCTAAGTATCATTCCTGACATCTTCCACTTCAAATACATAAATGGAGCTAAATCCAAAGAGCACAGACCATCTTGAGAGTTTTGCTTTTAACAGGCATGAGAGATGTTCCTACCCAGTTCTGCTGACTCAGTCTTGGCCAACACATGCTCATTACTAAGACACCTCAAAAGTTTTACACTTTCAAGTGTCCTTTATTTACAAGGGATCCTAAAGCTAGACATGTTTGCTTCATGTACAGTGGAAAACAGATGATGCCTCAGTTGAAATTTTTAAATGCAATTCTGAAGTCTGTAAGATACCATCTAGATTTAATCCATGAAGTGTCAAGACTTCAGTTACAAAATGGACTCATCACACAGCAACGTCTTTCCCAACTTCTCCGAGCCCTCTATGATCACCTCTTTCAACTTCCCTCTTACCTCCCCTTTCTTTTCACTCCTCTTTTGGATCATCACACTTAGCATAAGGTTAATTTACAGTGCATTCTTAGCTTTACTTGTCTTTGTATGCCTATGCAAGGAATGGTTTCATTGTTGTTGCCATTGTGTCCTTGCTATAATGAAAAAGATAATTTAATTTGCATTTAAAAATAATACTGCTCTTGCCAATGCAAGTCTTCTGTTCTCTGCACCGGCTGTCCCTTGAATTTCCACCATTTTAGCCAATCTCAAAGGTAAAGACAAGGGCAGGGAGGACAAGAGCAGAAGATTTTGCAGGTTACCTGCGATAATGCATTCCCCATCTTCCAGTCACAACCTGAAGTGAGTCCTGACAAGATCTGAATTATGTCGCTGATGGACAATGAACTGGATTTACTAGCATCAGGGCTTTAAACATTCAGCTGTATTAACTTTGCAGCTTGCATCTGTACTTGCACAGGTGTCAGTATTATTTTTTATTATTTACCTTCATTACTTGTGAGAAGGCACTTTTTATCATGAACAAGGCAATAACTCAAAGTCTACACCAGAAACTATTCAAATCCCCTTGCTTTACACTAAGCTCAACATAGGCTTTTCATTCTGATTTTAATACCGACATTGTCTGTTACCGAATTGTGTAAGACACACTGACGCTACATCCAGCGAGCAGGTCGCTCTGACCTAGCAGTACTAGAAACAGCATGACTAATAGCAAATTAGATACAGTTTTGGACACAGGTCAGGGGGCCAGTTTGATTACGTTATGTGTTAGTACAAATATTCAAACTTTATAAAATGACAAATAGCAAAAGCAGAAAAGAAATGGTCAAGTCAAGTAAAAAGCTTCGGTCATTTCAGGGGAAGATTTTTCTTTATCATAGAAATGACTCAAAAACTGTTCTTACAGAAAAAAAAAAAGGGGCAGAATTTGAATTTTTTTGAAAACTGGTTATTTGACACCACTGAAAACTGGTCTTCACCCATGACACCAAATCAAATGTGTGTAGCTGTCATTTCAATTATGTTGCTTTGCACAGCTAGCCACGTCAAGTGATTCAGGGTAGCCACAAGGACTGAAATGAAGGCAGTTTTCCCTGTATTCATTCAGTCCATAACTTATCAGCCAAGTTTAGTAGTGAATACAACTACAATAAATTACTTCTACAGTATCCAAAATGTATTATGGAGTTAAAAGATGCTTGAATTTGAATATGAAAACAATTTGAAGCCTGTGTCTAAAAAACTCTTTTATTGATTCAACAGGATAATTGGCTACACCTATAAACCTAGCTTCGGGTTTGGTTCAGCCTGATGGAGAGATTCACCTAAAATAACATTACAGCATTAGTTCATACATTCCTGTACATACAGAATTTATAATAGTTACTGGTAAGTAACTAAGGGTTCACTCTTCAGTATGAATCACGATGCTCAATTCCCAGGACAGGGAAGGTTTTGGCAAAAATACAGGTTAGAGGCAAGGCATATTTACTTATTGTCAAGAATTCTTGAATCTGGAATGAGTAAGATCTGAAGTTATACAAGCCCATGATGACCTGCTGAATAAAGCTTGTATCTTTCCTCAAATCACCAGCTTCAATTTCAGCATCTTCTGGGGAGAATGCCATTCTCCCATGCATCAGAACACTATTATACTCCAAGTGTCAGTTGGGTTACCAATTCATTTTCCTATCTAGAAAACAAATTGCTACAACAAAAAAGGTTTAACAGTAGCCATTCTTTTCAAAGGTAATCTTTTGTCCTGATAGACACAATTTTTAAATTAAAAAAAAAAGTTTTCTGGGCAGCAACAGGATATTCTTCTTCCATGCTCGCTCTCTCACATGAGGCAGAGCCCTCCCCCGCAAATCAGATATTTGGTCCAAACTGTCTCCATATGGGACCAGCTCAGCCGTCTGTGCTTCATGCGCCAGGAATTACAAACACTTCTGGAAATGCACAAAAAGCCACCTGAGGTGACTCAATATACCAAGTCAACAGCTGAACTTACTAAGCTGTGGACATGGCGTGGCCAGCTCCAGAGGAATTAATTCCCTCTCTACCTTCTCACCAAACTCTGTTCGACAGGCTTGCTACCGCCCATGTATGACACAGACACAGGTGGCCTGAGGACTGTACTTGATGTGCTCTGCCTTCCACAGCAGGCTGAACCCTGAATAGCTTTGTGGTAGCTCAGCTGAAACCAGAAATAATAGAAATATGGGATGGAAGAACAAAGCAGATACCCTCCCACCTCCCACTCAAAACCCCTCCAAAATCCAACCAATACATGGATGAGTCCACACAATTCTGTCCCAGTTTCCAAATTCTTTGGTTTGGTTCTGAGCTTGCTTGGAGCTCCTGCAGGAAGGGTAGTTACAAAGGCACCATCTGAGGCGTTTGTGCCAGACAGCACAGCACAATCATGGGAGGGCTCCCACAGAAACTACGGAGTCCAAAAGGTTCACAACAAAATCTAATCCGACTGCATCAGAAGCAGCTTCTTGCAGAAATATTGCACTCGTTATCTATTTGACAGGGATTACCTATTTTCTCGGCTGAGTTCAGTAACACCTCGAGACAGTGGAAAGCTGACAGGGATCCAAGGTAGACAACCAAATATAACTGATTTGTACTTAAAAAGATTGAAGACACAAAATAGGTTATTTCTTAAACTTGAGTTTTTCAAGAGTCAGTCTTGAAAATAGGCATTATTTTTCCACAAAAGACTACATTACAATCAAAATCTTAATTAAAATCAAAACATTTGAACGTATCAGATTATAAATAATACAGAATAGAACTCTTCAGTCTTGCATTCGACCCAGCTTCTTTATGAACAAACTTATTCGTTATAGTACTAAATTATCAATTTAAAAACAGTTCCATGGTTATAACATAAAATGCGTAATTAGGAAAAATATAGATGTACTGTCTTACTTCCTTAGGACAATTTTATTCCAGTACTTTTCTCCTCTGGACAGAGGAAGCTATTGTAACTGAGCACACAACAGCTCTTTCATAATAGAAAAAGTTACCAGCATGCAGAGAAGTTGCATCAAGAACAGGGGCTCTATACAATGTCCAGAGCCTGTTGAGAAACACATAGCTTTTATATGCTGTGGATTAAAGAGCACAACCATCTGGTCAGCTTTCAGGCTAAATGAGCCAATGCTATCCTGCATGCCAATTTGCACCATTGATAAAAAAGGCCTATTATACATCTGTCTCAGTAATGGCTGATGTTACGGTTTTAGCAACACTCCTCTGTTCTATGATTATTTCAAGTTTTATACTTTAACAATACACTTATTTCTATGGGTACAACTGGCATCGTTACATACTATATAAATGCTTTTCTTGCTTTATTATGTAAAATCAAGATTTAAAGGATAATGGCACTAAACTGGCACTTTTTACATTGTTTTTAATTCCTTCTTCCGACTTTTTACAAGATTCACTATTGCAGAAGCCAAAAGGTGAAGGATTAAAAGAAGTCTTCACATAAAAGCTCTAAGGATTGATATTTAATGAACTGTGAGATGTAAATCAATGCACAACAGCACAGTTTTAAGCTTAAAATACTAGGATAACATTTATATTAAAAATAATTCACCTACAGATAATACAGTCTAGTGTTTATTGTATGTTATGGAAGGTACACTTGAATTTCAAAAATTTAAAACATATAAAAAGTGGTTAAGGGCTAACATTTTATCAACATGTGATAAATGTGTAAGAATGTTTATTATACAGCAGGGTACAATGGTAGTGTTAATGCCAACAGGGCACCACAGAAGTTAGTTTAAAAAAAATTTCCACTATGCTTTATACAAACAACACCACTTGCTGTTGTTTAGAGTATCAGAAGAGGATCTCTGTCTGAAGGATAAGCAGTCCTAGTATAACATTTTTAATGTTAGATAGTGTCATATTACGTAGATTCGTGAATGTTTCAAAATAAAACTAGAAATGCTGTAATTACTTCACAGAAATGCACATCCAATATTTGTTTTCAATAAGAACAATAGGTACAAGATTATAACTCTCCCTATATGAAATAATTTACACACAGATGAAAGCTACACTATCTAAAATAATCACTAAATACATTTTTCTTCTGGAAATAAACAAGCAATTTTTGTTTTGCATGATCAATATCAAAAAACATATAGCAGAAGTCGTAATTTTTAAACATAACTGATCCTCTAAAGTAACAAAAAAAAAAAAAAGGGAGAAAAAATAGTTTCCATGAATGTGCAACCTAAAATCAACCAAGCTTATATTGTAGTACAACCATATTAAGAAACCACTGATCAGAAATACAACTTTATGGAAAAAGTTTATAATCCACAAAACTGTTCATCAGGCTATAAAGTAAAATAGCTCCACAGTTTACAGATAAAACTGAGGCCACATAGATGCGTGCTATGTCTTATCTCCAGTAAGTAGATAGTTAGGCAGAGGATGTAACACTTTGTTTGTAGACAGCATGGTATGCATTTCTCAGCAAGACGTAAGGGAAACAAGACTCCAAGAGATCCATTGTCAGGAATGGAGACTCCTGCACAATCTGAAAAATACCAGAAACACAAGGTTTTGCAGAACATTTTCTACTGCCTGCTGCTACCTATTTCATGGAAATACTTCTAGTCTGCACTCACACCACCAGTCACATACTTCACAGCAAAAAAATAACACAAAGTTTAAATGCTTGGGAGAAACACATTGCTGTACACACATCACTTCACAAAGGTAGTAATTTATTTTTCCCATATAGTCATATAGCGCTCCTGCACTTCCAAAAGATACATTAACACTGAAAGGAAAACCTCTGAGCAGAGATTTCCTCTCCACACTCTGAAGTGTGCTTCTTTAACGTGAAATTTCATTTTATTATTGTATGTACTAAATGATCAATGAAAACGACCTGAACAATGTGATACAATGTTCTAGGAAACAAAGGACAATGGTAAAAATGCGTGTGCATGTGTTGGGGAAACGAAAAAAATTAATTTCCAACATTAGAATGCCAGGAAGAATGACATAAAAAAATTACTGCCACTGGTTGATGAGCTGTTACAACACACAAGGTGACAGCCAAACCCCCCTTGTTGAACGATGCAATGTGGAGCCTACTCCTTAAGTTAGTATCACATAAAATAGACAAAAGCTTACCATGTCTAGTAGTAGGTAAACAGATTCTCTATTCCTTGTAGTAGTTTTGTCCGTCTCCTGGCCAATCTTCAGTAGACTAGATGATGCAAGCTACATAAAAATGAGTATTTAATCAATAATTTAATCAATAATTTAATCAATTAAAATCAATAAATAATGCACTGATTAACTTTTGCTATTCTGCAATACAGGCACACACAGAGAGCCTCTCTGAAGAAATCAATACCCTAGCCAACAGACATTGCAGTGTACTAACAACTATAAAGGAAAGTCAGTAATGCTGAACACACAGACCATCATCAGGCTTTAGTCTCAATGAGCCATTTTTGTTTATTTCTAGCAGTTTAATAAGCAATTATGTTTTTTAATAAGAAAAGTGAATTATTTTATTGCAGAGAACTTTTGGTTGTAATCAGTAGTTGACCATTATAAAGCCTACAGACATGAATGGCAGAACTTCCATGGGATCAAGACTTCACTTTCTCTGTCCCTCCCAAAATGCATATAAACTTGCTGCACTTTGGTCAGATTTAAAGTGTTTGGAGTTTTTATTGTTTGAAGTTATACCCATTTTGCAATAGAAGGACAAATAAATAAGTTTTACTTCCTAAACTGTTTTTACTTGAAGAAATCTCATCCTATATGTAAATGAATAATATTTTATCAGACCATAAGCAACCCTACAATACTAGTTTTAAGAGATAACCTAGAAACTTGTAACACATACTTTAGGTATTTACAAGCTCAGGATGACAGAATACAGTAAAATACTGAATTTGCAGATGCATTGATAACCCATGTTTTCATGCTTTACAGAAATTTGAAAAAAAACCCTCTTTTCAGTTTTCCAATATACAATCGTTTATGCCCTTGCACCAAGCAATGGCAATGTGCCTAAACCATGTGTTTACCAGAAATGGATTTTAATTTAAAATAACTTTAAAATCTAAACTACTTTAAAACTTTAAATCAAGATTCCTCTTGAACAAATTCCATCATTAATCAATTTGTCATACAGAGTGAAGATGCATACTTGAAAATAATTGTAGTACATACTTATCAGTATTAAATAACCTAGTATGATTTTTCTGTATTTAATTAGCTGACAGGAAAGCAGATCATCTCCAGCAGTAAGTACATTTTCTTCTTAAGAGAAATGTTATTCTTTCAGACTAACAGTAAATGATACATAAAAGTTGTTAGAAAAGAAAGATTATCAAAATATCTGAACCATCAAATCAGTCTGTGCAGTAAAAGCAGTGGTCTGAAACCAGTTCGTAAACACTGAAAAAATGCAAACCTCATTCCAGAAGTGTTTTTATCACATGAAACTATACTGGTTTCCTTCACTTGTCAAATGTATGCAACTTGACACAACCATTTCTCTTTCATCTTTTACAGCCAGCAGTTGCATTAGACAAGGTCAATGGCCAAAGGTTTTTTCTGTTTTACAAAATGAAATGAACTTCCAGAAATGGAAGATACTTTTAAGAAGGGGGGATGGGAAAGAAAAATTGTTTCTGTGGACTTGTAGTTAGAGAAAGTTACCATTATCCCACCCCCATAAGTTTAGATGCTAATAGGCTCCTAAAATGAGGGGGGGGGGGGGGGGGGGGGGGGGGAAGGGAACCACTTAAAAATTCCATTTGATTAACAGGGAAAATCCTTATAGTACTGTCAGAAGATAGAACAACTATGGTATCTTACAAACCTGAAAGCAAAACTGATTTGATGATTACAGATATTATTTACCTTTGTAGAGCTAGAGATGGTGCACAAAATATAATGCAAAATGTAGGGGTGATTAGTTGTCTGCTTTTGCAGTAATTTGTACCAAAGAGCATGAAATGAATGGGCACCAGTCTAAATTCTTCTCATTAGTTAAAAGTGAAACCGGTTATTAATATTACTGATCTAACACTGTGCAAATTACAAGGCAGTACGCTACATCTGTTGT